ATATTTTAAAATTCCAGTATTCTTTCATAACATGAAAAATTATGATGGTCATTTAATTATTCAAAATGCGGATAAATTAAGTAACAACAATAAAATAGGTGTCATCGCTCAGAACAGTGAAAAATTTATTAATATCAGTTTTGAAAGTTTGAGTTTTAAAGACACTTTTGGGTTTTTAACTGCTTCATTAGATAAGTTAGTTTCAATGAGTAAGTATGATAATACAGATGAAGAAGATAAAAGTAAATGGTTATTGCGTGAAAACTGGAAAGATAATTTTAGGTTCAGTAGTAAAAATGATTTGATTAAGAGTGAGAAATGTCTAGATTTGTTGACTGATAAAGGTGTTTATCCTTATGACTACATGAATTCATTTGATAAATTTGATGATGAGCAATTACCGAGTAAGGATGATTTTTATAGTCAGTTGAGTGAAGAAGGTATAAGTGTTGACGACTATGAAAGGGCAAAAATTATATGGCAGCATTTCGACATTAAGAATATGGGTGAATACCATGAGTTATATTTGAAAACTGATGTATTATTATTGACTGACATTTTCGAAAATTTTAGAGATGTGTGTGTGAAATATTATGGATTGGACCCTGCTTATTATTATACATTGCCTAACTTTGCTTTTGATGCTATGCTTAAAATGACTGGTGTAGAGATTGATTTAATATATGACCAAGAAATGTATGAAATGATAGAAGCAGGACTTAGAGGAGGGATGTGTATGGTTTCTATTAAAAAAGTTGAAGCAAATAATACATACATGGGAGAAGATTATGCTAAAAAGAAAGAAAGTAGTTATATTAACTATTTAGACGCTAATAATTTGTATGGGTTAAGCATGATACAAAAACTGCCATATAAAATCTAAAATGGGATGATACATTAAAAGAAGAAGACATAATTAATTATAAGAAAAATAATATTGGATATATTCCAGAAGTGGATTTAGAATATTCTAAAGAATTACACGATTTACACAATGACTATCCAATGGCACCTGAGGTTATGAATGTTCAAGCCAACATGCTGTCAAATAAACAAATTGAAATTTATGACTTTTTAAATCATAAAAAACCTACGGATGAGAAAACAAATAAATTAGTATTGAATTTAAATGATAAAGAAAAATATGTAATCCATATAAGAACCTTGCAATTTTATTTGAAGCAAGGGTTAAACTTAAGAAAATTCATAGAGCAATTAAATTTGAACAAAAAGAAGTGTTAAAACCTTACATTGAGTTTAACACTGAGAAGAGGAAGAATGCTAGAAATGATTTTGAGAAAGATGTTTACAAATTGATGAACAACGCCATATTTGGAAAAACATTGGCGAAAACATTTAGACTTTGAAGTTGTGAGTGATGAAACTAGATATATGAAGTGTGTAAGTAATCCTAACTTCAAACATAGTCATATCATTAATGAAAATTTGGTTGGAGTTGAAAAGCAAAAAACAAAGTTGAAACTAGACAAACCTATATTTATTGGGATGAGTATTTTAGATTTGAGTAATCAACACATGTATAAATTTTATTATGACGTTATGAAGCCTAAATATGGAGATAATATTAAAATGGTATATACTGATACTGATAGTTTTGTATTTCATACTAAAACCAATGACATTTATGAAGACCTGAATACAATTAAAAAAGAAATAGATTTTTCAGATTATCCTAAGGAACATAAATGTTATGATGAGAATAACAAAAAAGTATTAGGGAAATTTCAGGATGAATTAAAAAGTAAAATAATAACAGGGTTTATAGCCCTTCGTCCTAAATGCTATGCTTATTCAGTTTATGGTGATGATAAAAAATATAAGAAATGTAAGGGCATAGCAAAAGGCACAGTAAGACGTCAAATGAAATATGAAGAGTTTGAGACGGTTTTAAAAACTAATGAGGTTATACATAAGTCATTTAATAGTATTAGAAGTAAAAACCACAGAATTTTTAGTATAACAACTAAAAAAATTGCTCTTAGTAGTTATGAAAACAAAAAATATTGGATAGATAGTGTAAACTCACTTGCTTACGGCCATTATAAAATAAATTCTTTGAAAACGACTTAAAGAAATATTGACTTAATATATTAAGAGGAAAAATGACACTGTTTTATTATAGTAAGTGTGAATGTTGTAATAATAAAAAGAATGATATTAATTTTACATTGTATAACTTATTACCTGCTAATCTGTGTAATAAAATAAGTGAATATGATGTATATTGTAATCAATGCTGTATAACAAGAGACCTTGAAAAGTTGTTAGTTGAAGAATATAAGGATAAGGGATATACAAAGTTTCAATTAAAATTGAAATTCTTTATGAGATATCAAAAACGATTTCCTGTATATTTTTGTCATAAAATTGCAAGAAAGTCATTTGAAAAAGAAATTGATGAGTTTTTTAATAATAAAGATTTGATTAAAAGGTTTGGAGGAGAACTAAGCATTAAACCATATAAATCATTTGCTAAAGAATTTCGTGATTTGTTTGAAGAGATTGATTGGCATTTATTAAGCAAAGATAAAATAAACAAGGTCTTGAATGAATTTAGAATAACTAAATATCATGTATGGTATTACTACAACACTAAATATAAAGTATGTCTATTGCTGTATTTATTCTTTTGGGAATATATTTATTCAATAATAGGAAAAGACAATATCAAATATATAGACATTGGTGATATTGATAAATATGTAGATTACATATTTGAAGACATATTGCCTGACTGTTATCTTAAATCCTTAATTCTTAATTGAAATATAATTATAACATGTAAAATATTATATGCTATAATTATACTATACTTATGGTTAGTTTCTTAATTTTTATTAATGCCTTAAAAATGACTTAAAGAAATATTGACTTAATATATTAAGATAGAAATGAACGGTGATAAAATCAATAATTATATCAATAAAAAATGCTATGATTGTTGTCACTTCAAAAAAGAAAATATGGAATTGTATAAATTAAATTTACCTAATAAAATATTGAATAATATTATTAATTATTCAATGGATGAAGAAGATGAATGTAAAATTTGTCAGGAATGGAGAGATAATCAAGTTTTAATCAAATGTCTGTTGAGAATAAAAGGGAGACATAATAGAAATGTAGAAGATGAGATTTTAATATTTCTAACTGTAAATAAAATACCGTCTTACGATTATATTAAACAGTTTCTTAAAATCCCTAAGAAAAAATATGGTATGATTGATGATATATTAAGGATGTTGTGTTATAGTCAAGACAAAGGAGAAGATGTTAAAGAAAATATCAAATTATTTATTGAAAGTAAAAATTTTAATGTTCAAAATACATTGAGAGATATTAATATTATTTTTAAAATGATGTATGAAAGAAGTAAGACAAATCAATTAAATTATTATCCTGTACTGAAATTATAATCATACTATGATTATCACATGTAAAATATTATATGTTATAATTGTAATATATTTATCGTTTGTAAAGATTGAATTATTATAATTTGCTTATCTCTTTCAAAGTGCGTTGTTTAGACTTGGCATGCTTCTTCAATTTTTTCGTGCTTTGGCTGTTTGTTTTTGTTTTGTTTGATGCTCTTGTGATATTTTTTGTTGGTATGTTGCTTTGTTTTTTGTTGATGTGTGTTTTTGAGTTTGGGTTCTTTGATGATTTAGAGTGTTGCTGTTTTGTTGGTATGCTTGTTTGAATTATTTAATGTTGCATGCTGTGATTAAATATTTTTGTTGCTGGTTGTGATTATTTATTTTGTTTGCTTGTTGTTCTGGATTTTGTTTTCTGTTTGTTGTGTTGCTGTTGGAGAAAAAATAGTAGAAAGAATAATTCTTTGAATTCTCCTTTTACTATTTTTTAGGGGGGGGGGGTTGGGGGGGGGGTTTGGGTTTGTATGGTATTTCATTAATAACCAATAATTATTTAAACCAAAAAACAAAAATACAAATTATTAATCTTAAAATATACTTATTTATTTTTAAATTTTTATAACATATACCAAAATACTATCGATTAAAATTAATTTATATATTATTTAAATCTTTTTAAATAACAAACACAATATTTTAAATCAAATAATAATAATGCTGGGCCATCAGTCTGGGTCTTGCAAAGGGGTGTCGAAAAGCTCGGAAGAGGTGGCCGCAAATTTCAAGAAGAAAGCCCGTCAAACGCGGACGACATGAATCCGAAATGATATTTTCACTCTGCCCCCGTTTCACGCCAAAAACTGAGTCAAATCATCGAATGGCTTCGGGCAAACTAAGTGGGTGTATGTGCGTTGCCACTCTTGAGCCCAGTCTCAACCCGCAATCAGGAATATGTCACCAAATGCAAGGGAGGCGCCGTCGACCATCCCAAACCAAGCATCACTACATTACATTACACACACATGCATTGCGTGCGCTGCATGCACACATGCACACATGCACACGCCTCATCTGACTGGCATGACTCTTCCCTACCTTGATCCGAAAAAGGAACGCATCGCTGCTGCTTCCAACGCGCTGCTTTTTGCTGGGCATGTAGGCTACCATGAGTTGCGCAGAAGACAAGACATTCTTATGGAGGGAATGTTGGCGTTGCTTGTGGGATTGTCTTTCGAGACACACCAGCCTACGTTGAACATGGGCTAATTTAACGGTGCTTCCCGCCATGCGCTGGTTGCTGGGCGTTCCTGCCATTTCTGCACGGATGCCAAAGGCGAAGCATGTTAATAGTGTGGTGCATGAATTGCATCTTTCTGTTTATCGGGTACGCATGTGTGTTACAGTCTAGCAGGGGCACTCGAGAAGGCAGGCACCTGTATTCAAATTGCACGTGGGCGATCTGAAGATCATGGAAGCACACCTTTTCGTGAGCGCTTGCTAGTTTCAAGCATCATCCGCATGGCTTGCTGCTGAGTTACAGCTACAGAACAATGACAACAATAATCAAGTTGAGATGATAGAACTGTTCTCTTGAAAACTAAAGCCCAACTCGCCGCGGCATTTCAAGCAACGTTCTTCGAACGTCCCAGACATTTCAAGACCTGGACATAGCACTGAAACTGCAGTTTTGGGTGGTTGGGCGGGTGCTCAGCTGATGAAGGGCCTAAGGCTTGATGTTCGCAAAACATGCTCTGGAAGAAGTCAAGGTCCAGGGCTCGCGCACAATAATGTACAACACCAACGCCACAGCACATGTGCCTGAAGACAAAGAACGCCAAGCAACATGCACCAAATGCACTACATTGTCGTTGCGTCGTTACATGCGAAATGCAAACGTGCGAGGCACCGCAGAGCGCTTTGATCTTCAGATTGCGGAACTGGATCTGAGCATGAGCAGCTGAGTCACCGAAAGCCGCATGATAAACGTCAGAATCCACAGTCATGTAGTTGATGCTTCGGCACCTGTCGTCGTAGGTCCACACTTTGCTTCAGGAACTTGTTGGCCTGCGCCAAAATACATCTGCGTGCAACGAGTGGTGATGAAGCCCTTGTCTTGGGAGATGCAATCTGCTTTCAGGGTATTTGTTTTGTCCACCTGAGGTTGGCTTATTGCTTTGAAGTCAGTTGCTGGTTTGGCTTCTGGGTTAGTTGCTTCTTAGGCGTCTGGATATGACTGAGGGTGAGCTCAAGGTTGACTCAGGGTTGAAAGGTTGATTGAGGCTGGGCTTGGCTAATCAGCTTTGGGCAAAGCAAGGGAAGCAACTGAAAAAGCCAGAGCAAAAAGCTGCAAACACAACAGGTGCCACGAAAGCCAAACATCTGAAGCGACAAGGCCCGTAACTAGCTCCTTATCTCCGGCCTGAGAGCTCATTGAAGAACTGGAGTTCCTCATTGCAGACATTACCCCTGCAATCAAGAGACGGGGCATCTGAGAGCCTGACTCCAAAGACTCTAAAGTCACGTGCGTCTCGAGGATCTTTTTCACGTTGTCCTAATGAGCAACTTCTTGACAGAGACCAGGACAGTACAATGCGAAGCCAAGCTTTCGCATGTACGTGCCAGCAAATCAGAAACGCGAGCGTGTTGGCAATCTGTGTCGCTAAACTGCTTTGCGCTGTTGCGCTGCTGCGCTGCTTTGCTGCTGCACCGCTGCGCTGTTGTGCCGCTGAAGCCGCCTCCGTTGACGTGCGCCGCTGCGCCGGTGAGCCGTTGCGCTGCTGCACCGCTGCGCCGTTGCGCCGCTGCGCTGTTGCGCCGTTGCGCGTTTGCACCGCTGCGCTGATACGCCGCTGCCGCTGCGCCGCTGCACTGCTGCGCCGTTGCTTCGTTAGGCTGTTGCGCCATTGCGCTGTTACGCTGTTGCGCCTTGGCGCATTTGCGCTGTTACGCCGTTGCTCTGTTGCGCCGCTGCGCTGCTGCGCTCCGCCGTTGCGCCGTTCCGCTGTTACCCCGCTGTGCTGTTAGGCTGTTGCGCCGTTGCTCTGTTACGCCGTGGGCTGCGCCGCTGCGTCGTTGCGCGTTTGTGCCGTTACGCCGTGGCGCTGTTGCGCCGCTGCGCCGTTGCTCCGGTGCGCTGTTGCGCTTGTGCGCCGTTTTCCGCCGAGCAAGCTTACGACACCAAGCAGGCGTCTTCTGCAGCGCGCATGCGGTTTTTATACTGCGTGTGTCCGACTAGTCACCAAGGCAGATTGCTCTACCACATCTACCACATGTGCCCACATACCTAGCTATCCTATCTATCCTATCGTTCCTATGTATCTCATCGTATATGTAAGTCTTATCGCTCTTCTCTATCAAATCTGTCATTTTTTCTAAAATCATATATTATCATGTCTTCCTCTATCTCATTTTATGCTGGTTTATCATATCTTATCTCATCGTGCCCTAGCTTACCCCAAACAAAGTAGCCTATACTGTCCCGTCTTACCCTATCTTCGTATGATCTTATCCTATCCAACCTTATCATGTGTATCTATCTATCTATCTACTTATCAATTCTATCCATCCTAAAATCCCTGTCTTATCGATTTCACCGTGTTATTCTATCTTGCCTACCTGATCTATCTGAAGTCTTATCTACCTTATCTACCGCATCTACCTTGCCAAACTTACTCTGATCAAACCTTACCCTGTCGCAGCCTACATCAACCCATCTTATCCTATATGATGCTATCCTATCCTCTATCATCCTATCTCATCCCACCTTACCCCGCGTTCGCCTATCTTGCCGGTCTTACCGTATCCTATCTTACCCTATGTACCGATGTACCTATCTATCTTTCTTTCTATCTACTTATCTATATCTATATCTACATCTATATCTACATCTATATCTATCTGATCCTATATCGCCGCTTCTTATCCTTCCATATCCTGCCGTGTGCTGTCCAATCCTGTCCTATCCTGTCTTACCCTACCTTCTCCCATCTTCTCCTATCGTCTATCTATCTATCTACATAGCTATCTATCGCATCTATCCTATCGAGATATCATAACTGTCCTATCTTTCCTATCTGTCTGTTTTGTCTATTACATATCTGTCTATCTTTTGTGTCTTATCTGCGTTGTCTATCATATCTTGTCTATACATTCTCATGTCTTATCCTGTCTTCCCTATCTTATCCTGTATTGTCCTATCTTCTCCTATATTATCATGCATTATCCTATCTTGTCCTATCTTGCCGTGTCTTCTCCTATCTTAGCCTATCTTATCCTTTGTATAAACCGATGTATCTATCTACAATACATCTATCTATACATCTATGTGTCAGTCAATATGTTTCTATCCCCATCTTATCCTATCTCATCCTACCTTACCCACATAAAAAAATTATCCTGTACTATCCTGTATTAGCGTATATTATCGTATCTTCATCGTTCCTATCAATCTCATCGTATATGTAAGTCTTATCGCTCTTATCTGTCATATCTACCTTATCTACATTACCTACCTTCTTGTGTTGTCTTATCATATGTTATTGTGTCTTACCCTATCCTAACTTGTCTTTCCTGCTTTATCCTACAATATCCCATCGCAGCCCATCGCATCCTATCTTGCCCCAAATTATCCTATCTTATCAATCGTTTCTATCCTACCTATCTGATCTATCTTATCTCTTATCTGCCTGATTACCTTGTCTATCATGTCTATTCCATTCATGTTATCTACCTTGTCTACCTTACCTACCTTTACATTATCCTGTCTTAGCCTACCTTAGCCTATCTTATATTGCCGTATGCTATCTTACCCTGCCTTATCCTATCTTATCCTACCTTACCCCATGTTAGCCTATCTTGCCGCGCCTTATCCTATTTTATCCGACCGTAGCCTATCTTATCCTATGTGTCTATCTGTCTATCTATCTATCTACACACCTACGTATCTATCTATCCTATCTCATTTTCTCCTAACTACCATATCTACCCTTTGTTTTCCTGCTTGTCCTCTCTATCTCATCGCGTCTATCTTATCTATATGTCCTGTCTTATCTACCTTGTCTATCATATCTATCACATATATATATATATATCCTAGCTGCCTTATCTGATCTTATCATAAATTCTCCTGCCATATCTTATCTTCACCTATCTTATCCTGTATTTTCCCGTCGTATCCTATCATATCAGGTCTTATCCCATCTTCTCCTGTCTTATCCCACTTTGGCCTATCTTTCCATGTCTTGTCCTATCTTGCCCTATGTACCTATCGATCTATCTATGCTATCTCTGAGACTGCTGGGGCTCAAAACACAAGTCCTTGAAACATATTATTAACAACGAAAACGCAGCGAACACCTGCGAAAATCACGAAAACACGAACACCGCGAAAACTGTGAAAACAGCAAAAACCGCCAAAACGCGAAAACCGTGAAAACCATGAAAACTGCAAACACCGTGAAAACGCGAAAACCGTGAAAACGCGAAAGCCGCACAAACATCGGTTTTCTGGGTTTTGTGGGTTTTCTCGGTTCTCTCGGTTTTGTCGGTTTTCCGGCTTTCTCGCGCAAATGCGGCTTGCTCCGTGTCGCTCAGGCTGCCATCAGGTTATCGCCTCCAAGCAAAGGAGGCAACCTACCTTTCTTTAAAGTGAGGTTTGCCCTCATAAACATGACATTTAGCCTCCCCTCATGCTATCTGAAGTACTCGGGAGTCAGTTAGCGATCGGGAACTCAGCCCTTAACACGACCAAACTCGCTCTAGGAGAAACGGCGCAATCGAGCGAAGCAACGGAGCAACGGAGCGAAACAGCTTTGCGGAACAACGGGGGAACGGCGTGGAGCAACGGAGCAACGGAGCGAAACAGCTTTGCGCCACCACGGGGGAACGGAGCGGAGCAACGGAGCAACGGAGCGGAGCAACGGAGCAACGGAGCGAAACAGCTTTGCGGAACAACGGGGGAACGGAGCAACGGAGCAACGGAGCAACGGAGCCAAACAGCTTTGCGGAACAACGGGGCAACGGAGCGGAGCAACGGAGCAACGGAGCGAAACAGCTTTGCGGAACAACGGGGGAACGGAGCGGAGCAACGGAGCAACGGAGCGAAGCAGTTTTGCGCGACACGCTTTGCCAACGCTCTGAGAAAGAAACGCAGCACTTGGCATTCCAGACTTCCAACACTTGAAACTTAGGAATATCACGTAGCACTCCAGGAGCACAGCCTCCACTGCATCATGGCTGACAGTATCAATCTTGCGCCCAGCCAAGATCAGCAGCACTTGCCACCGCCAGCCCTGCGTAGAAGACTGGCTTAGCCAAGTACAGCAAAAAACATACACATCATGTACACTTTCAAACAACACAATACAGCACGCGCTTCGTGTGCATGACGGCATGGAACACAGTCATCAAATCAAGGTCATGTTGCACACCCCAACATATTTTCCCGACTTGGTCGATTCACCGTGACTCTCACCACCGACATCTCCTGCATGATGCCCTTCAACTGGTCCACCTTTTCACGGACCTTGCAAAATAGCTGATTCCATGACACAACGCTTGCCCTCTGCGGACCTCTGTAGTTTTGTCCTGGGCGCCTGCATCATTGTAGGTCCTGGTGAGTGTTCGTTCAGCAGCTCAGCAGTGCAACAGCCCGCCAGCATAGTCCAGGCAGCAGCGCTCCCTTGCGTTGCATGCTCCTCATGGTGTCCATCATCAGCTTCCGCAAGGGCTTGGACAAGGAGCCGGATTTGGCCTTGGGTGCTTGACCTTTCCTAACTTCGATGTCGAAAGTTGCCTGGGGGGCCTGGCTTCCAGGAGGAGTTCATCACCCTGAGAGTTTCGCACCTTGCGGCTTCAATTCGTCGGCGGAGTCCGGATGCATTTGTTTGGGGTCCATCTTTCCGATCACTTGTGCCTTGTCCGCCATCTCTCGCAGTAGCTGAACAGCCACTCGTTCGGGGTACTGGGCCTGGTGAGGTTCTCTCTGCATGAAGCTCAGATCACGAAGCCTGCAAAATATTCTGCAGGGTTCAAGCTCCTGAACTCTCTGAGCTGTCACAATATGCCTGGCTCAAAGTTCCCGGCATCTCGAATGCCAACTGCAAGGAGGCACAAAGCCTGGCATCCAAAAACAGCTGTCAACCAAGAGCGCTCACTAGGACAAAACAACTTCAAAAATGGCGACTGCCTGGGGATCAGCAAAAGTATAGAGGACGCCCTCATCGCAGCTCGCACGATCCTCGGACAACTGGGAAACAGGTGAAGTCGAGCTGCAGCCACCTTGCCGTTGTTAAAGGTAGATGCATGCTTAGTTAACTGAATTCCACCCTCCGACTTCAGCCCTGCGCCCTCCATCCCGGGTACGCGGACTTCGCGCGCTCCAGCGCTGAGGCCTGGCGTCGCTTGCTGGGCGCTCACTGGGGTGCCCGGCATTTGGCTTGCGCAAGCGCACTCGCCCAACGGGCCAAAGTGGCCAGCGCCCCCTCGTAGTTTTTCTTCTCCTCATTCAAGACACTCTTCTCATAGCAAGTTGCCAGGATTGCCTGTGCCATGCGGTCTGACTGATTTTCAGGGTCTTACGGCCACTTGCTCTAGAAAAACATGCGTGCAGGTCGCTTGACATGCTTGAACCTTGCTATTACAGCGCCCGCGCCGGATGCTGACGCTTCGCATGTGGGAATGACGCTGAGTGGGCCGGCGTGCTCGTTCCTGGTGTCTGGCCTGGCTCCCCAAATTTGGCCCTTGGCACGTCCTCTCTGGCGCGACTTTTAAACAACACCTCTGCCTTTTGACTTTTGCAGGTTTCCTCCGCGTGGTTCTTTTGGGACGAGAGCGCTCGTCTTCTTCTGCAAGCATTCTCAAGGGCCTGTGAATGATTGGAACAGGAAGTCACACCTTTGTTCACATGTTCCTTCCTTGGCATGCTTGCTTGTTCGAGGCTGCTCGTATCTCATGGCTTTATGGTGAAGACGCGCTCTGAGAACCAAAGCAATCACACGTCCTGGGTCTAGTGTGTCCAGTGGCACGTGATTTTCCGTGAAGCAGTATGTGTTCGATAGGTTAATTTGTTGACTCATCTCTTCAAGCGAAGAGACTGCAGGTCTGGAGCTACTCGCTCGTTGTAGTCTTGAACTTATCCTGGTGTATCCAAGATTCGCTCAGTGCTTGTAAGCTGTTCGCTTTTCTTGGCCCTCTGATGGGATATAAAAACGCTCTTGCCACGTCTGGCGCAGTACCACTCTGGTTGCAATGGTGTGGGAAATTTTAGTTCTAGCATCAGCCATCCACGCGCGATTGCCTGGACGCGCGAAAGCTTTCATTGGCTCGTAACATCGAAACGCGAAGGTCACCAGGTCTAATAAGCAAGCTTGGCTCCTTTTTGCCACCTAGCTTGCTTGTCATGTCGTGTCTCTGCATGTACGCATGAGCCAAATGTGCACGGGGTTCGAGCGAAGCCCTGCCTGGTCTTGTATTCGCGCCACGCCCAGAAAGGCAATGGTCTCGGCCATGCCTCGAAAAGCTCTGTTAGATTTTTGGGTTCATAACAACATGTTCACTTGCTGGCATTTCGAAACATTGCTCACCTGCCTCCCCAGATCGGGTGCAAGCATGAACTCAAGCTTGAGCCATACCGCGATGCGCGCTTTCAAGACGTGTCCTCTGCCACCCTGACTAGTGAAATGCACACGCGCTGCAGATTTATCAAGATGCAAAGGGTTGGCGCTGGCCAAAGCCCGGAACGATGGCCAGTTTCCCAAGGGTAGCAATCCTTGCCTCCAGGACCTCATGTGGTACAAACCCATTTTGCCAAATGAGAGGCCAAAGGAAGCCTTAGGAAAGCGATCAGACTGAGCACGTTGGACAAGGACAACAAATGAACACGTGGTGCGGCGAATCATTGTACCTGCGAGTGATGCGCCCGTCTGTCTCGCCGTGAGAGATTGCTTGTGACTCCATTCAAGAGCCACACATCATTGGCGCTTCGGCGTCCAGGCCAATCAAGCCAGAAATTGACACGTGATTCAGAACCCGTCTGAAAGCTGGAAAGCCTTACATTCTATTGACAGATATTGACAGTTCTCGGAGAATTGGCTCCGCTGCGCCTCTCTGGAGCCGTGAGGCCATCAAGACCCGGCTACAACCGGTCCAGCGAGGAAGCCTTTCGCAAACATTTCAAACAACTTGGCTCAAAAATCCGCCAACCCCTTCGCCTAAAGGGGGAGGCGCACGGGAAGGGTGATGGCAAGAATCGGCATTGTCCCTGCCAGAGATGCTAGGGATACATTATGATAGTCAGTATCATCACTGCTAGAGATGTTGGGAATATCATCCAAGTTGCTTTTCGCGGTCCCGCTAGAATGCGTAGTGATGCTGATCATCCATGCTCAGGATCCTCGTTATATAACTCGTTTTCTCAAGTCTTTTCTATATTCTCTTCTATACATTTCAAGTGTCCCGTTCGGCCCGGCTTGGCATGCAAGCGATGCGTAGTCACGCTTATCATCATCGCTGCTAGAGATGCCGAGGATGCGTAGTGATGGTTGTCATGATCGCTGATAGGGATGCTAGAGATGCGTAGTGATGGCTATCATGATCGCTGCTAGGGATGCTAGAGATGCGTAGTGATGCATCACGCGCGCGAAGCGGAAGGAAACCGTCCTTGCAGAAGTCTGGCGTTTGGTTGCGGCGATGCGGGGGGCGCCCCGCAACTCTGTTGCGAAGCCTCCTTAGATGGCAGGCCGCGCAGTTGACGGCTTGTGTGTTCCGACAACGATGATAGCGAAGAAAGGTGACGATGATGACGATGATACTAAGAATGATGATCACCGTCCTGCAGCATTCATGGAGAGGAGATTATCATGAAGCGTCCTCCAGCATTCACAGGGACGACATTTCGAATGCAAGGATAACTGTTTTCCAGCATTTACGGCGATGACATTTCGAGTCATGACAACTATCATCGTTCTACCAAGACTGTCGAATAAGAAATGATGATTCCCGTGATGAGCATGAAGACCAAAGAAAGAAAGGGATAATGAGGACCGTCATGATGATGACTATTAAGTCAATTTCGTTGTATTCGGGGGTTACATCATTGCAATCAGGTGTTACACCAAATGGCTATAGGGAGCATCATGTGTCACGCGAGCATTAAACAGGGGAACGAGTATCACAACGGGGTCAAGGGTGAGAGGATGAGGGGGTGCGGGGGCGATGGTTTTGGTGGGGGGCCGGGGACGACGGTTTTGGTGGGGGGCCGGGGACGACGGTTTCGCAAAACCACCACGTCCCTTTGAAAGCGTCAAAAAACACAACCACTAACATTTTGGTGAAAAAGCCACGATTACCTAATATGGGTCACCCTCGGCTTCCCTCAAACCGCGATCCCGTAAGGGCGACTGTTTCGCAAAACCACCGCCCCCAACCCCCGGCTTCCTCAAAGGAATATACCCCTGTACTTCCCCAACCCCTGGCTACCAAGTAAGAAATTCCACCAGCAAAAAGGAAATTCCCCAGAAACTAACCTAGTCTGAGAGAAACCGCAGCACCCATTAACTTTGCGACCTTCCACAAGTTGTTTGGGGGCTGCCCTGAGGACGACGGTCCTGCCAAACCCTCACCCCCAGCAGTCTCAGGTTTTCAGAAAGTATAGGGCGATTCATACAACTAGCAAGTCGGTGATGCGCTGCAACATAGTTCGCGTTTTAAGGCCCGATAAACCGGCCGAGGGCAGACATTGACTTGTCACATCTTCTGAACTTGAACAGACCGAAAATACCTCAGAGGGTCAGGGAGTAAAATAACTCCAAGAACTTGACTAAATGCAAATGTTGGGCGCAAGCCTCTTCTCTGCCATAGACCACCCCCCCCTGACGCTGAAGTGGCAGCAGTTCTATCGCTGCTAGGCCCATGACACCCGAATGGAATGTTATGGCACCTGAATGCAACGAAATAGCCTTTATTTTGATTTGCTAGCACGCGCGCGAAGCAGAAATAAGCCGTCTTTGCAGAAGTCTGGCGTGCGGCGACGCGGGGGGCGCCCCGCAACTCTGTTGCGAAGCCTCCTTAGATGGCAGGCCGCGCAGTTGACGGCTTGTGTGTTCCGACAACGATGATAGCGAAGAAAGGTGACGATGATGACGATGATACTGAGAATGATGATCACCGTCCTGCAGCGGTCATGGAGAGGACATTTCGAGTCATGACGACTATCATCGTTCTACCAAGACTGTGGAATAAGAAATGATGGTTACCGTGCTGATAATGATGATAAGCATGAAGACCAAAGAAAGAAAGGGATGATCAGGACCGTTATGATGATGACTATGATGAACCATGCTGATTTGCTAGCACGCGCGCGAAGCAGAAGGAAACCGTCCTTGCATAAGTGTGGCTGAGATGGCAGGCCACACAGTTGGCGGCTTGTGTGTTCCGACAACGATGATAGCGAAGATAGGCGACGATGATGACGATTTTACTAGGGGTGAGGATCAGCGTCCTGCAGCATTTATGGAGAGGAGAGGAGATTTCGACTGTAAGGATAACTATCATGAAGCGTCAGCATTCACAGGGAGGATATTTCGCATGCGAAAATAACTGTCACGAAGCGTCCTCCAGCATTCATGGGGAGGACATTTTGAGTCATGACGACTTTCATCGATCTACCAAGACTGTCGAATAACAAATGATGATTGCGATGATAATGATGATAAGCATGAAGACCAAAGAAAGAAAGGGATAATGAGGACCGTCATGATGATGACTATGATGCACCATGATGATTTGCTAGCACGCGCGAAGCAGAAGGAAACCGTCCTTGCAAAATCGTCCTTCCAGAAGTCTGGCGTTTGGTTGCGGCGATGCAAAGGGCGCCCCGCAACTCTGTTGCGAAGCCTCCTTAGCTGGCAGGCTGCGCGGTTGACGGCTTGTGTGTTCCGACAACGATGATAGCGAAGATAGGTGACGATGATGACGATGATACTAAGAATGATGATCAGCGTCCTGCAGCATTCATGGAGAGGAGATTTCATGAAACGTCCTCCAGCATTCATGGCGATGACATTCGAGTCATGACAACTATCATCGTTCTACCAAGACTGTCGAATAGGAAATCATGATTACCGTGATGATAATGATGATAAGCATGAAGACCAAAGAAAGAAAGGGATGATGAGGACCGTCATGACGATGACTATGATGAGCCATGATGATTTGCTAGCACGCGCGCGAAGCGGAAGGAAGCCGTCCTTGCAGAAGTCTGGCGTTTGGTTGCGGCGATGCAAAGGGCGCCCCGCAACTCTGTTGCGAAGCCTTCTTAGATGAAAGTCTGCACAGTTGACGGCTTGTGTGTTCCGACAACGATGATAGCTGAAGATAGGTGACGATGATGACGATGATGCTAAGAATCATGATCACCGTCTTGCAGAGTTCATGGAGAGGAGATTTCGACTGTAAGGATAACTTTCATCAAGCGTCCTCCAGCATTCACAGGGAGGATATTTCGAACGCAAGGATAATTATCATGAAGCGTCCTCCAGCATTCATGGGGAGGACATTTCGAACCATGACGACTATCATCGTTCTACCAAGACTGTCGAATAAGAAATGATGGCTACCGTGATGATAATGATGATAAGCATGAAGACCAAAGAAAGAGAGGGATGATGAGGACCGTCGTGATGATGACTATGATGAACCATGATGATTTGCTAGCGCGCGCTAGCACGCGCGAAGCGGAAGGAAACCGTCCTTGCAGAAGTGTGGCGTTTGGTTGCGGCGATGCAAAGGGCGCCCCGCAACTCTGTTGCGAAGCCTGCTTAGATGGCAGGCCGCCACAGTTGACGGCTTGTGTTTTCCGACAACGATGATAGCGAAAATAGGTGACGATTATACACCTTGCCAAGTGTCACCTCCTTCAAAGGTTGGCGGCGCAGCGTCAACACTTAAATCCGGCCGCGGCCTGCGAAGCGGGCCGAACGGCTGTGTCAGATTACCACCCTGGTCTCCAGAGCGAAGCTCTATGGGGCTGCCATGGTGTTGCCAACCCTGTGCATGCCGAGGATGCGTGAAAAGGAAAGTGATGAGAATTACCTGGATCATGGGTGCGTTTTTGGGCTTGTTTTTGGGTCTGCAGCCTTGGGCTTGCAAGTCTGCGGTCTTGCCCGGTGATGCGAGTGCTGCTGGGGATGTTTCTGGGAGCTGCCTTCCACACGTCCTGCTGCAGCCTTGAAACACTGGAGAAACACGCGAACATGCAGGGCTGTTACTGCAAAAAACCGAGGAAAAACAAATGGTTTTGACATGCGTTTTGTGTGGCAACTGGCCCAGGCGTGCGACGGTGTGCGTGCAGGCGCGCGGGCCTGCGTGCGTGCGTGCGTGCGTGCGTGGGTGGGTGCGTGGGCGCGCGCCGCGTGTGTGCGTGCGTGCGTGCGTTCCTGCGTGCGTGCGTGGGTGGGAGGGTGGGTGGGTGGGTGTGTGGGGTGCGTGCGTGCGTGCAAGCGCGTGTGTGTGTGGGTGCGTGTGTGTGTGTGTGTGTGCGTGTGCGTGTGCGTGTGTGTGTCTGCGTGGCTGTGTGTCTCTGTGTGTGTGTGGGGGGGGGGGGTGGGTGCGTGCGTGAGCGCGTGCGTGGGTGGGTGGGTGGGTGTGTGTTGTGCGTGAGTCTGGTGTGTGTGTGTGTGTGCGCCTGTGTGTGGGTGCGTGCGTGGGTGCGTGAGCGCGCGTGCGTGCCCACGTGTGTGCTTGTGTGCGAGTGCCTGCGTGCGTGCGTGCGTGTGGGCGGTGAAGGGGACATGGCGAAATGACGGGAAATGGATAGAAAATAGATGGAAAATGTGGAAGATAGATGGAAAACTGAGGGAAGATGTTCGGAAAATGGATGTGTGTGTGCAAGTAAGGAAATATCTGTATGTTTCTGTTGTTGTTGTTGTCGCTACTGCCTGCTTAGCCGTCCTTGCAAGAGCTGCGAAGTTGAGCCTCGCTGCCAGAGACAGATGAGCATCGCCTGCATCATCTGCTTCTGGCGGGTGCGTTTCTGGGCTTGTTTTTGGGTCTGCAGCCTTGGGCTTGCAAGTCTGCGGCCTTGCCCCGGTGATGCGGGCGATGCTGGGGATGTTGCTGGGAGCTGCCTTCCACACAACGTCCTGCTGCAGCCTTGAAACACTGAAAAACCACGTGACAATGCAGGGC